TATTGGTCTTTGCCATAATCATGTTTCTTATAATGTATATATGGAATTATGGAAGCAATCTCAAGTATGAAACTGAAGTCAAGCGAAAGCTGTCAACAGATTTGATGAGAGAATTAGGTTGTAATCTTGGGACAATACGAGCTCCTGGGATTGGTTTGCTTTATAATGAGTTGGTCAAAGGAATACCAGCAATTTTTGGCCATTTTCTAACCACACTTCCTGCAATACACTCTATGATCATATTTGTGAGTATCAAGTATGTTCCTGTTCCTATGGTACCGCAAAGTGAAAGGTTTCTTTTTCGGCGAGTCTGCCCCAAAAGCTACCATATATTTCGTTGTATTGCCAGGTAACTAGCTTTATTATTTTACATTGGTGATTTGGGAGGCATTTTGATCTGTGGCGGATAATGGAGATGCTAACCTTTATATTAATTCAAAAGTGGTGGTCTAGGGGAAAGTCGAATGGATAGTGAAAATGAGGCCCTAGATATTACTTTTAAAAACACTTTCACTGAGCATCTTATCAAGGATACTTTGGTGAAATAATGTATTTTATCCTATTAATAAGAAATGTCTATTTGTCTGAGTGTTTGTCGACAGGTATGGTTACAAAGATGTTCGGAAAGAAAATCACCAGACTTTTGAGCAGCTGCTGATTGAGAGCCTAGAGAAGTTTATTCGTCGTGAGGCTCAGGAGAGGTCATTGGAGAGTGACGGGGATGATGATTCTGATTCAGAGGATGAGTACCCTCGTTCTAGGGTTCTCATAGGTCCCAATGGGAGTGTTTACTCACTTGGTGTTCCTCTTCTCGCTGATTATAAGGATACAAGCAACCCCGTTTTAGAAGCAAGCACGTCAGAGGTGATAAGCTCCGTATTTCCTGACCCCAGTGTGTGTGACGCCGAGCAGAGCCTTGAGAGCGAGTTATCTTTTATTCACAAGGCTAAAGAATGTGGTGTTGTTTATCTTCTGGGTCACGGGGATATAAGAGCAAGGAAGGACTCGTGGTTTATCAAGAAGTTAGTTATAAACTATTTTTATGCTTTTTTGAGAAAGAATTGCAGAAGGGGAATCACGACTTTAAGTGTACCACACTCAAATCTTATGCAAGTTAGCATGACTTACATGGTGTGAAAATCAATTTTGCAGCAGAAATAAAACAAATGGCAATATTCTTGAAGACTGCAGTTTGGTATTAGTGTAAGTGGGCTTCGGAAAGGTCTAAACTGCTGGAATTCTCAGTCTAAAATGTTGGTCTGAGGTTTGTTTTGGTTGTGGGTTCGCCATCTGCATGAGATTGGAAAAAAGGCTGATAACAAAAAGAAAATGTTATAAACTACACATCCCTTACACTTTTGTGAATGTGTCAAATTCCGCCCTAAATGCAAGAACCATGGACACAGTATTGTACAGTGACATTTCGTTGCTCTTTTTTCCTTTCTACAGCCTTCCCAACTCTGATAAACACAAATGAGATCATATTTATTTTTTTATTTGAAAATTTTATCATTAAGTGTCGTACCCTTTTTGTTATTTAATATACTAAATTCGCAATATAGAAGATTTAAGCTTTACGAGTAGGAATTAAGACACTTGTGCACTTTCATCACGAAAAGAAGGTAGTTATGTTCCTAAGTTTATCCTGATATGAAGTGTTTTTTATTAATAGAATTAGTGTATGGAACTCTTATAATTGATTGTGCGGGTGTTTTTTCTTTATTTTTTCAAATACTCCATTCTCACTCAGCCTAAATTAATATCATTAAATATAAATATAATTCATATACCTATTTTCATCAATAATTTACTTTCCTAAAAATCAATATAGATATAAATAATAAAACAGAATTTATTATTCACAGTTATATTATTTCTTGACAAACTATTTGATGGCATATCCCTAAAAAAATTAACTTTTGTGTTGGAATGGATAATCTTTCAAACATACATTCAACACAAGACAAATAAAAGCTTCAAAGATGTTCTTACTTTTCAAGACCTTGATCACTCATTTGATTTAAGTGTATCATTGTTGGAAGTTATATTCTTTGTTTACGTAACATTTGTTCTTACTTGTGTTATAAAATGGGTATTTAACATTGGTGGGAAAGCACACAAAACTCCAAAGAAGATAAGGAAGTTTGCCTTGTTTCATGTTGAAGATTTAAGGACAAATCCTTTTCAAGAGGGAGGGAATGATGGAAAATTCCTTAGCCATGATCAAGCACTTTCAAGAGAGTTAAAGTCATCCCTAAAGATAATGTCAACTCTACCTTGTGGACCACCTTTGGAGTCATCATGAAGCATGAATTGAAGAGTAATGTAGGAATTTAGGCCATGTAGTGTAGGTTTGTTTAAGGCTTGTATTAAGGCCTAAGTAGCATAGGATTTTTCTTAAAAGTTAGACATCCAAACCAAGTGAAAAGTATGTGTCATGTGTCATGCTTCCATTGGAGAGAATTTACTTTTTAAAAGGTAGCCACATGACACCTTAGGAGTGAAGAGTTTTTTTCTTTTAGTAGTGGCCACATGACATTCTAGGAATGGAGATGATTGTGTTTTGTGAGTGACCACATGTCCTCCTATCATTGGAGAGGATTTGTGGACACTTGTCCACTCCTTAAAAGGCCTCATTTTTGGCTAATGAGAGCAAAGGTGGAAGATCATGCTTTTGGGGTTAGAAGGAGACACCCTTGGCCTATAAATAGAGGTGTCTTTATCCTTGTATTTCATCTTTGATGTTGAGTAATGTTATGCTACCCATTTTTGACCATACTACTCATCTTAGATCAATACTAGAGCAACCCATGAGGCCCCTCTAGTCACATTCTTCCTTGAGTTGGACTAACCTCTCTTGGAGCCACCAAACACTACACCACCACCACCATATCTCTTAGAGGCTTTGAGCTTCTACACCATTCATACATGGGTGTTGCTCCCTCCACCACCACAGCCTTCTCACTCCACCTCCCCTTTACTATTTTGTCCCTCAGTAAAATTTTATTTTTAGAATTATTCTTTTTTAATTTTACTCATTTATAACATATTTCACTGATAACCTACGTAGTTCCTTGTATGAGTAAAATATTTTTCTGCAAAGCTCAGTGATCGTGAAAAGAATTATCAAGCAATCTTCCTCTTGCTTTCGGTGCAGTACGTGGTGCAGTGCGTTTGTGGTGTAATGTGCTTGTCGTGGTTCCTCTCCAGGTACGTAGTCATAATCCTTCCAATAATCCTAAACCCTAAACCCTAAACCCTTCCAATAATCCTTCCAATAATCTTTCCAATAATCCTTTAACCCTAAAACGTAAAATGAAAACGAAGCCTAAACGGATGACATCCGTTGAAGGATGTCATCCGTTTAAGCTTTGTTTTAATTTTATGTTTCTGTTATTATTTTATTAGATATTTTAATATTTTGATTTATTATTTTTGAATATCTTTTTAATGTATTTTAATAATGTATATTTATATTAGTTTATATTTAAATATTAAAATATTAAAATAATAAAATAATAAAAATAAAAAAATTTAACTTTAAGGATATAATTGGAATTAAAGATAATTGGGGAGGTGGAGGGAGAAGGCTGTGGAGGTGGAGGGAGCAACACCCTTCATACATTAGCTCTTCATCCTTGGACCATTTACCACCACATTTTCGCACCATTCATCCAAGGAACACCCCTCCATATACATTTTCTAACTTTGGTCCAACCTAGCCAAGGATATCATCATCACTATTAGTCTATGTAATAGTAGAAAATATTCGTATTTATAACTACCGATATAAGTGTTAATACAAATGAAAATACTTTTAACCGTAACTTCCAACGTAAATGTTAAATAACCGTCAATATTAATAATCGAGATAATGTAAAAACATTATTTATAACCTGCAACATAACCGTCAATATAACGATAGTATAGAAAATATAGATGAATATTTGTTTCATCTATCTTTATAAATAAAATAGATATCCTATTTCGTGCTGTTTATAGGTAGGTTTACTGCCCGAGTTAATTGAGAGTGTAGTATAGATTGAAAAGGAAAATGACACTTGAACAACCATTTTTGACAACATTTAGACACGCGCACACGTGTCAAAATCTGAGTGGTCCATTTTCATTTAATTTTTCCAACTGGACCACTCAGATTTTGACACGTGTGCGCGTGTCTAAATGTTGTCAAAAATGGTTGTTCAAGTATCATTTTCCGATTGAAAATAAGAACAATGACATGTCACGTGATAAATAGTCATTCACTACATTGGGTGAAACAAAATTTGAAGGAGCCAAAACCAAACTGGGTAAAATTCGAAAGAAAATAAAGGAAAGAGATTCAAATTCTAATTTTAGAAGCCAGTTTCGTCTTTTGCTCCTTTTATGTCTATTATATAGATATATAATATATATATATATATTATATATAATATATATATATATATATATATAAAAGATCATATTATAAACAAGTATCTCAATTTTATATTAACACAATATTTTTAATTCATATAATTTTATAGAATATTATTAGCAAAAGAAACTTTTCAAAATTAAAAACTCCTTGATTTTGATAATTCATTATTGTCTACATCCATGTAATTTTATGGAATGTTATCAACAAAAGAAAATTTTCAAAATTAATAACTCATTGATTGTGATATTTATAATCTTTTTAACTTTCAATCTTTAAGACACCAATGAATCAATTAAGTTTATTGAAAAATTAATATGATTGTTTTTACTACTTCTAACACGAAAAGTTTAGCGAGTTTTGTTTTTTTGTACTTTCCACTCTTTTCAACGTGTGGCCAAAGATAGTGTATGTGAGCCACGAGAATAAATAGAAATTGTGTTTCATGACTCGAGACTGCAAAGTTGATTCTTCCTTCTATTATTCATCCAGTGTACCGATACTCTATGCTTTTAATTATCAATTGTGCTATGATATGAAAATCTTCCCATTGTGTTCTTTATTGTCAAGATGTAGATTAGCATACACAAATCCCAAACAACATAGCATAAAGTGAAATTCTGGATAACTACAGGATTACTAATTATAGATTTGTGCATTGACAAATCTACCACATACAGGGCATAATCGCTATTGACAATAAGGTAACATACGTACTTATTATAAACCTGTCTTGTATATCTGAGAACCGAGGATATAAGATTTGATAAAAGCCTAGTTTGTTAAAAGAGACATCATTGAGTCCATGTACCACTCTTCTGCATTTGTATCTGAAGAAATAACTGCTTCAGTTGCTATCTTCTTTATCTGCCACTTAGTCCACCATGGATTTAGTAAATAAAATTATAGTAGTATAGTATTCAAAATGCATAATGATTGCCAAGCAAAGAACATGCACACTAAGGGGAGTAAATGCCCATCATCATATTTCAGATTTAAGTGCACATCTATTACCATTAGAAGGTAGGTATAAGTATTTGCAGCAGCATAGCTATTAGTTAACAATACTAGAGATGCAAAGTTAGTTTTAAGTCAAATATATAGAAACTCTTAATTCTAAAACTGTCTTCTAACAAGCACGCAAACCAACACTACATGAAAAATCAATATTTGGTTTCTTCAATGAGTAAATTTAGTGACAAATTATTTCATGGAAGTCAATCCATCTAACTCATGAGTTAGCTCACCATGAATTGAGTTAAAAGTGACTTACCTCAACTCTACTCACTTTTTAATTAGTCAAAAATTTCTTAATACTGATCAACCAATTACACATTAGTCGGTTAGGTAGGATAACTCACTTAAGCATGCTTCGTTTTTCCATCTTGTTTTACATATTTAGTAAAGCATAATTAAAGTGAATTGTTAAGAAGTAGACTTTAAGGTTAACTCAACCTCACAAATCAATTTGTAAGGTGATGTTTACACTCACTTATACATTGTGAATTGACCTTCTCTCTAGTTGATATAGAACTTCTAACACACCTCTCATACAGAAATATATACATCTCGAGCATATGATAAAACATTCATGGGTGGTATGATAGCAGGTGAAACAATAGACCCAAGAAACAACAAATTTTGTTAGGGTGCTCTAACTCAGGACTCTGATACCATGTTAAGAAGTGCACTTTAAGCCTAACTCAACCCCATAAAATCGGCTTATAAGGTGAGGTTTGCACCCACTTATATATTATAAATTCACCTTATCTCTAGTCAATGTGGGATCTGTAACACCCCGCCGGGGTATATACATCTCAAACCTGGGACTAGACAATAATAGGTGGTCCAATAGCAGCCTGATAGTGGGTGACACGATAAGCCTAACAAACAACAAATTTTGCTAGAATAGGTTTTAACTCATGACTTTGATACTATGTATTAGAAATAGATTTTAAGCATAACTTAACCCCTACAAAATCAGCTCATAAGATAAGGTTTACACCCATGAATTGACCTTATCTTTAGTCCATATGGAACTTCCTTATTAGGTTGACTCTAACTCATATATTGATAGCAATACAATCAAAGTCTTAACCTATTTCACCAAACATTTTTACAAAGATAGTAAGTGAAAATCAAAATGTCAACCACTATAATTAGATAGACAAATAAATCAAGTACTCAAACTATTCAAACATTATTGAATAGAATTATAGTATTCAAAAAGATCATATTATCAATCTATATAATTAGAAGTAGTAAACAACTATGACAAAAAAAAGGTGATAAGAAAATGATAAAGGATTATTTTTGGTGGGTTACGGATCAACTCACCTTCAATCCAATTCTACCCAACTCAAAACTGATGAGTTCAGTTTGACCTACATTTAAAAAACTAGATTTTTTTTCCAACCCGACTCAGATGAATCAAACATTCAAATTATTCAAACATTATTTAATAGCATCATAATATTCAAAAAGATCATAATACCAACCTATATAATTAGAAGTAGTAAACAATTATAAAAAAAAGAGTGACAAAAGATAATAAAAGATTATTGTTGGTGGGTTACAAATCAACTTACCTTCTACTCGGCTCGAAACTCACAGGTTCAGTTTGACCTACATTTGAAAAACTATATTTTTTTTCTAATCCAACCTCGCTCAAACTTGTAGTGAAGTTAGGTTGGCTCACTAATTTGAACCTACTTTGACACTTCTATCCACGAACTACTGTATAGGTATATTACCGAGATATTAATCCATTGATAAACACGAGGAAAAACTTGAAAAATCATCTAAAAAATTCATATAATTGACTAGCAATACAAAAATATCCCTATGTAATATGCAATCAATTATATACCTGGTATATAAATCATATAACATGCATTAAATACAAATTCAATTCAACTCAAGAACACCTAAGGATAATATATTAAGTATTCAAACAATATCCTTGAAATTATAAAACTATCTACTAACATTAAGTTCAAGTGATATCCATAACAAAATAAAAATGCAAATAAGAACAATCTAATCTAATATAATCTCACCTTAAGGACTAATATTTCAATCTCGGAAACATGATGTATCCTTTTTACCGAAGCCTCAAAAAGTCCATTTAAGCATTTTCGATCAAAAAAATAATCACTTCAAATAGGGTGGATTAGAAAGAAAAAAGAAAATCCACATGAAACATGTCATGTTAGTCCTTTTCTAGTCTTGCAATATATTTGTCATAGAATTGGCCTGCTTTCTCAAGCTCTCCAAGCTCAGTGTAACAATCAGCAATTGCCCCAAACGCCTCTGTATTGCCTGAGTCCTCCCCTTCTCGTTCAGAGATGGCCAAAACCATGGAATGATATTTTATAGCATCTCGATATTTTCCCTGTCTCTGCAATGAGGCTCCTGTAATGCAATATTTCAATTGTATTCATGGAGCACCTTGTAAAATCCTTCATCCATTTAACACACGCACACAATAAACAAAGTGATAACGTGGAATCCCCCTGACTCATAAGCAAGATAGGAAAGATAACAAACCTAGACCTCTGGCAGCCTTTTTTTCTTCGATAGGATCCTTTAGATTCTGGGCAAGCTCAAGTGCATTCTTAAACTCTATGAATGCTTTATCCAACTGTTGATTCCTTAGAAAGTTCTTTCCATTTTTCAACTTAGAAATTAGTTCTTGCTTCTTTGGGTCAACAATAATTTCATTATCAGGTATCCTACCACCACCAATGGGAGCATAACTCAAGCTAGGAGCATAAGACTCGATTTTGGCTTGCTTCCTTAATGCTGCATTGATTTGGATTAATTGCTCGTTTACCCGTTGTAATTCGTTTCTTCTTTGCCGAGCAAGCAACCCTAAAGACAAGTAAAAATTGAGCTTTCATGATGTACTCATGCCTCACATAGCTAAGCCTCTTAACTTTCAAATGAGTCTCATGCATTTAAAGATTTGTAGTTGCATACAAAACTTATTTTAGTATGCAACAAACGAAAATCATTTCCGCAAACACCTTGCAACTAAATGAAGTTCCACTTTCGAAGTCCTTGGAATAGAAAACACATATCACAAGCTAGTATAATGTACAAACGAATCTTGCTACCTTACCTCCAACTGTGGCTCCAATGAGGGCTACCGCTAGCAATATAGGCATATTGAAAAAAGAGTTATCAGCCTCACAAGTTTCAGCCAAAGCTGTATTAGGCATAGAGAACATCAAAATATTGCTTGCTACAACTATTAGTGATGGGAACCTTTGGTGCATGTCTTCCTAGCAAGGCAAACGATTTTACTCAAAGGTCAATAGAGAACAATGCCACAAGAGAGTAGAAATTGGAAGCTGACAGGATGTAGAGAAACAATAAGCATAATCCTACAAAAGTGACCGGAAAAGAGAGACTCTGAACAAAACAATATCCATGGTTGTAAATTTTTCCAATAACGTCATTTTAAATAGAAGATCATAAATTTTAACCTTCAATATTTAACAATCCGACATTATTTTAAAACTAGGGTAAATAGTCAATTCAATACAAGCATTGACATATTTCGTTCTTAATACAATAGAAAAGAATTATAATCTCAGTACAAAAACTTAATTTCGTTAATTTTGTTTGAACTTCATTAAAGGTTAAGGTAATTGAACATGTGCTTGGTCTTTAGCAATTGTTATGTGTGTCTATTAAAGCAAAAATTAATGTTGATATGCAACTAACTTTGAAAAAGAAGCACAAAGGATTTTAAATTTACAAAACAAAAAGCAAAGGTACCTTCAAGGTTAATTGCATATTAACGTTAACCTTTTCTTTTATAAACACCGGTGACAATTATTAAAGACCGAACATGTGTTCAATTACCTTAACCATTAAGGGAATTCAAACAAAATTAAAGTTTTGAACTAAAACTGTAATTTTTTACTTATTGTACTAAAAACGAAATAAGTCAATACTTATTATATTGAACTGACTATTTCCCCTTAAAACTTCTATATTTGACGATTAATGTCCATGGTATTGTGCAGAAACACAATTATAGTTAAAACTAACATTAAGAAAAACTTGGATAAAATGATTCAAATTACATAGCAACAAGAATATCATTAATCACCACCATACCTTATACTTTGAGTAGTGCAACAAAGTTGAAACCTTTGAAGACCCATCAAGTGTATATTCAAAGCGTGGAATAATCGTGTCCAATTTTAACGAAAGACAAGCCAATTTTCCTGAATCATTAAGAAAGGTTCAACTTTGCCACAAAATTCCCAAAAACAAACACAAAAAAAGGGTGTTTTCAAAGCTCAAACAAGACAAAATTTACAAATTTGAAATAATTTGAAGATTGAATGCAAAAAATAACTGACCCAAAAGTAAAAGTTTGGGGTTGTTAGCATAGAATTGTGGTTGTGAAAAGCAAGGGTGAGAAAAATGGCAAGAGCAACACCACAGTGGCTTCAATTCTCCTTCAATCTACCTTTCCAACCTACTCCCCTCTCCTCCTCAACCACCATGCTTTCGCTCTCTACAATGACATTGCAATTCCTTCACCCTAGTGGTTGTGCCTCAACCACCAGAAGTAGGGGGGCATCTTCAACGTCTTCATGCGCCCTATCTCTTACATAGCCACAATAATCAAAGTATAATGATCGATGGCCTCTAGTCCCTATTTGTTGCCAATGTGCCTTGCTCCATATCCTTGTCATCCATGTCAAGCTTGAGTTGGACAATGTTACACGCATGCCATTGAAGATGTTGCAAGTTTTGAGAATTGACAAAGTTCAAAGTCTTCATCGATGACACTAGAGTTTAGCTCACTACCAAGAGGATCGAGAAGCTTGTGCTCTAGGATAGATGTACTACCAAAGGGGGTAAGTGGAAATGGATGGAGTTAATTAGGGAACAAGAAGCTAAGGTCCCTGAATTAGGGATTTGATTTCTCAATTTAGGTGAGAGACAAGCAGATGAGGACATATTAAGAGATTTGATTTAGCGAATTAGGAGACGAAGAAGCTATTGAAGATGTATCAAGGGATTTGATTTAGGGATTTACCAGAGGAGAAGAGGTTGGAGGTAATGAAGAAAAAACATACAAATTTTTGGTACCAAATAGCGTTGGACGGCAAATAGGGATTGTTGGTCAATGGAGTAAAAAGAGGTCAAATACGTGAGTGTTCTCAAGAGGGCAATAAATGGATTTTCAAATTTTGGTCAATTTAATTTTTTTGTCTTAATATTACTAACAAATAGGATAATGTTACCCACAAATTTCTTTTCCATGACTTCCATCTTGAGTAACATTCCCTCCTAAGCACATTTTTAATGCATTGCTTTTTTCTATTGAATTAACATTACTGACAAACATATCCATTAGTAATATGAATTTACATACAAATCCCATACCATGGGTAACTATATGTAGGAAAATCAGCTTATCAAAGTACACAATTTTAGGAAGAATAGGCAAGGAGGTAAAAGCAACTAACATGGAAGGATTATCAAATTCTCAACTATTCATTTTATAAATATCAATAAAGGAAATGTATTGAGTGATAAACTCAGGAGTAAAGAATGTGTACGCATTGTACATGAAAAGGAAAATATGCATGCATCTCTCTTGCACCTTCCCAACATTCTTCATTTGGTTGTTGGTGGGCGGTAGGGTGTTGAGTTTAACACCACTATGTTGAATTGAATGTGCTTTCATGGGAGAATTTTAGTATAATTCTAAGATTAGGTATGGTTTCTGTTGGAAGTCCCACATTGACTAGAAATAAGGTCAATTTATAATATATAAGTGAGTGCAAATCTCACCTTACAAGCCGGTTTAGTGGGGTTGAGTTAGGCTTAAAGTCCACTACTTAACATGGTATGAGAGCTAGTTAGAGCCTATCTATCAATATTTGTTGTTTATTGAGCATATTGTTCCACCCGATATCGGACTCTTATCAGACCACCCATTAATGGCTAGTCTCATACTCGAGATGTATATACCTCAACGTGACTTGAGTGCAAACCTCACCTTACAAACCAGTTTTGTGGGGTTGAGTTAGGCTTAAAGTTCACTTCTTAACCTGCTATCAAAGTCAAGTTAGAGCATATCCTAAGGCGAACTTATAATATATAAGTGGGTGCAAACCTCACCTTATAAGTCGGTTTTAGAGATTGAGTTAAGCTTAAAGTCCACTACTTAACCGTTTCAAAAAATTTCATTGGTATAACATGCATGTGATGTCTATAAGGGTTATTATACTTGTATACCGAATGAATTTCTCATTTTTCATTTCATTTTCTATCACATTTTTGTCCATATGTGGATCTATTATCTCTCTTACTTGATTTTCTTTTTTCGCTCTCTCGTTTCTGCTTAAAGATTAGGATGTACCTTTCCTCTCTATAGACTCAAGCATCACCACGTTAGATGTTACCTTTTTTCTGTATTGTATAAAAATTCATAAAAACAAATACAGTGATATTTGCAACATTGAGCCCCATAATGAAAACAAATAGAAACAACAACATAATAAACCACACCTTGAAGGGTAGATGTAAAACCACAGGTAGTTAAATGCTGTGCAAGTTCCTCCCCTAATTGCTTTAGATAATTTGGTGCCGGTTTTTCTTCAGGTGCAGGCGAAACAATTGCTATCTCTGATGCCAAATTTACCCGAGCAGACAGCACTTGAGGCTGTCCACTCCATTAATCATTAAACACAAACAAAAGCATGATAAGAACATAAACTTGTCACATTCCAAGCTATAACATAGCACGTTGTTTAGTTATTGAAACACATGGAAAAATTGAACTGGAACAACATAAGTACTGCTATCACTATCACTCACTCGGCTTTCTAAAAGCTTTTTGACGCTATTAGCGCATCCTTCGCACATCATTCCTTGGAAAGAGAGAGAAGTGGATTTGAAATTCTACATTTGATTCCGTTTGAGAAAATTTAAAAAAAAATGAAGCAAGGAGGTCGAAGTCGAACAAACCCCAACGTGAAGGGTGATGACAGCGTCGTCCGCGGCGGAAGAGCACCGGAACAGCGTAGCGGAGTTGAGGCGGCGATTTACCGGTCTAACTCTGACTCGACCTCTGACCAAAGGACGGTGGTGCTTCGGAGGTTTGGAAAATGCCATATGCGGCACCGTCACACACGACGGGGATTCCATTGCGAACGGAATGAGGATCGGAAATGAAAGAGACGAAGCCATAGGCACCTCACAACTGTAGAGCCAAATTACTCAGCTCTTTCTGATAGCTTGTTTTAAAGTATGATTTTTATCCCTTCTCATAATAAAGATAAAAATTGCTAATTTCCAGAGAATAATAGCAGAATTTTACAACCTAATAAAAGACACATTCCTACCTAGTTTTTTATTTTTGAAAATACAAAAAAATTAAAGTCTACTTGTGTTATTGCTATTATTTACATTGAAAAAAATAATAACATCTGCTACAATTTTAAAAATGTTATTGTTTTAAAACTCAAAAAATATTTAGCGTTTAATTGAATTTTCATAGCTTGAGCTTTTATAATTTTAAAAGAAATATGATTTAAACTTAAAGTCACAACTTATACAATGAATGTAATCACTTGAATAATCAATTAAATACTTAAATGAAAGTTTGAGCATCATTCGGTATATTAATATGAAGTTCAAGCAACATATATTAAAAAAAGGAAAGAAAATTACTCAAAAAAATCTCCAACTAAAAATTCAACAAATATTATCAATTTAAAAAAATGTTAATTTCTAATTGCAACATTTCTTTTACCAGCAAATCAATTCTTTTGTCAATTAAATAATATAAAAATTACAAACATTTAATCCAAACCAAAATAACTTCATTCACCTGTTTCAAATCACATTCAACCTCATTAATAAAAAATAATAATCTCCGAATGCAATAAATCAGAATGTAGATACACTATTAAAAATCTAGTTTTCCTCCTTTTACTTTGTAGTTATTTGTTTTGCTAATGATAATAACGTCAATATGATAAAATAGCTAAAGTTGTACAAAAACCTCGAAAGTTTTCAAGAGGTCCCATTTATAACCTACCTGGACGAATATAAAGTATCGCATTTACCAGCCTAAATAAAACTTAATTGATAGTTATTGTTATAAGATGAATGTTATTTGTGAGTATGCTCTAATGAATGAAAGTAGTAACTATAGAAGTAATCATTGAATCTAATGCTATTTAATTTCAAAAAACATGCACATTTTTATACATGTTTCCAAACTTTATAATTTTATCTCCAAATTCAATTTTGACTTCAATCTACTTTGAATCAAATTCTCAATAAACATAGATTTAATATATTAAACTACAATAAAATATAACAATGTATTAATTTAATTAAAAAATACACCATTTATCTTGACGAGTCTTCATAATTTTATATAGAACACGTCATTCATAATTTATTATATTTTGGAAAACTTAAAATAAATAATATTAACGTTTGTGTAGCACATTAATAATATATATTATAATAAGTAAAAGACTGAATAAATAATTATTACCTTATTACATATATAAGTAGATCAACGATAAATTATACTTTATTATTCTTAAAAATACACATATGCGATAAGATTTGCGCTATTAATTATATATTTGTCTTTATTTATTTTCTTTTAGTTTTATTATGACTTGGCTATTTTCTTAATACCAAATTTTTTTACCATAAATAGTGACAGCTGGCATTCTTCTTTTATCCTATGTCATATAGTCGCCCAATAGTCACCCATCACTGAACAAAATTATTTCAATATGTTTAATTTCGAATATATCTCTTTTATTTCTGTTTTAATAATTTTAATACACTTGCTTAATGAAAAATTATTTGGTCTAGTAATTGCACTGCATTAGACCCTCCAATGCACGTGCTCTGTAAATAATAAACAAAAGTTATACCATTAGATGTCTGAGCCAGTACCTTACTCTGTATAATATAAATACCAAATATACAGTTTCACTTTATCACGTCACTGGAGAGTTGAGGGGGAAAGAAAAAAAAAAGAAAAAGAAAAGAAAAGAAAAAAAGTCTCTGTCTCTTTCGTCGTTCGCGCTGATCTCAGATTCAGTCTTCGCCATGGCGGAGGGAGCTGCTTATGGGTTGCGTCGTCCATTAGGTCATTTTTTGATTTCCTTTTTCAGTTTGTTTGTTAATTTCTCGTGCAATACTTCGATCCTGTAAATTCAATTGTTTTTTCGACGCGATTTCTTGTTACGGAGTTCAGCTATCGAACTATGTTTACTTCATTGAGTGCATTCTTGTTGTTGGGTCTAAGTGTCAGGTACTGTTAAGGGCTTGGCTAATGAATGGACCTAAGGGTTGGCCCTTACTGAGGTTGGCTAAAACTCTGCCCAATTGATTTGGGGAAATGACCATTTTGGTACTTTTTTTTAGTCTAATTACGCATTTTTAGGTGTTACAGCGTCTTCGGAACTAGGGCTGTGTGATATGAATGATTGATAGGTATTTTTTCACTGCATCGATTTTCCACTTTTTCGGATCCCGAGTGGTGAAACTAACTAATATGCAGCTTCAATCCCCCCGTGAAACTAACTAATATGCAGCTTCAATCCCCCCAAATTAGCTAACCTAGTAGTATTGCCAAATTTATAACTATTTCAAAATCGTTTTGTTGGAAAAAGCACATTCATTAGAGCGATTTTCCTTGCCAAAAAAGAAAACTAAAGACAACTAAAAAGAGCATAATGATTATGTCATGATTGTGTTTTCCTATAAAATTTTACGATTAAGAAAGTGTGCGTTCTAAAGAGTAGGTTGGTAGCACTCCTCTTTGGATCAATACAAGCATAACGAAAATTACCCTTATAAATCTACGGATATAAATTGAGTTCAAGTTTAGTTCTACGTTATTACTTATAAAATGTTTTCCTAATCACATGGACATGTTTGTGTATAATCTTCCTTCATTTGGTTGCATCTTTCAATCTAGATCTTTAATCCCCCTCCCGAACTCAAGTAAAATATTGATTCTGACAACATTGCTCAAAGCAGTTATTTTGGTCAAAATCTCGTATTTTTTTTTATTTTAAATTTTTTTGAACACAAAATATGCTGTTCCAAATGATCACATAAAAAAACAGATCTGAAGATAGGAATATATTTGGTAGATTAATTGATTTTGTTTGGGGGTTGGCTTATAGGATACTAAATTTATGTACTGGAAACTTTGACCTCGAAATTGCACTAGTGAATGGCATTGGCTGTTATTTTCATATGTCAGTTTATCTTTCATTTTTATTCTATTATTACAAAATTATTCTTATTGATGCATGTGACTTTTACGGCCATGATTTGATTTTATAAGCTTGCTTGAAAATTGTATTCTGTATGTGATATAATTCATAATGAAACAGTTGACCAAATGCCTTGATATCAATTTGCAGATATTCAGCAATTACAATTTGAAGCCCAGCATCGGTGGTTGCGACCTGCAGAAATTTGTGAAATTCTTCGTAATTATCAGATGTTTCAAATCACTTCAGAACCTCATAACAGGCCACCAAGTATGGTTACTGCATGTTACTTCTATATTAATTTGAACCAGCATATACTTTTGATATATTGATTAGATGAATTGCCCAAGAAGCTTTCACAAACTGATTTTCCTTGACCTGTTTGGTTCAACTTGGTGTTCATGAACATTTTGGCCTGAATTAATCATATCTTTCTAGGTGCTGAACAATGTGTTTCAAAATGGAAGTATTCTCCTTCTTGATTTCATTTAACTGAATTTAATTATTTTTAAAACTGTATGAAGTTTTTTAATTTTTCATTATCTGAACTTAACGTATTCATGTTCCAATAGATCCTTTATTTCAGTTCAAGGAATAAGGGCACCTTATCCAGTAAAAAGAAAAAATTCGTGAAGCTGGGTAGCAAAGAAACACCTTATGTACTTATTGCAGGATTTAGGATGTTATTATTAGTATTTTGTTGTTTTCTTATGCCTTGCTTTGTTGTTATTTTCACTCTATCTTTTAGTTTCTAATCATATTCCTATCATTACTTTGATTTTACGAAGACATCACTTTCACTTTTACTTCATAATTTCAGGTGGTTCACTTTTTCTATTTGATAGAAAGGTTTTGAGGTACTTTAGAAAGGATGGACATAATTGGAGAAAGAAAAAGGATGGAAAGACTGTGAAAGAAGCTCATGAAAAGTTGAAGGTAATTATTTGGTTAAGTTTTGTGTTTATAGTTAATCAAATCTATATAAGATTAGCTTATGCATAAGATGATTGGAATTTTTCAACTAGTCTTCCCTAACTGCAAAGGAAGTCTCTACCATTATATAATTATTCACTGGGGTTGTAACATCATTTAAGCAAATTTAGGTTGGAAGTGTCGATGTGTTGCATTGCTACTATGCCCATGGAGAAGATAATGAACATTTTCAAAGGCGAAGCTACTGGATGCTAGAACCGTGAGTATGAATTAATTTACATACAATATTTTGTGTAATTTGTCTTGGACATTAAATTGTAGTCATATTTCATGTGTTTGTTACTTGTAAGCTTCTTTGCAAGTACTGCATTAGTACATTTGGTATCATATCTCATGTCAATTTATAGATAAAAGTGTTTAAGGTTGTTTTATTACCCTCAAGCTTAGTGAGTAGAGCATTAGAGTTACATTTTTTTTGCCTTTTCTGGTGTTTCTATATTTCAAAGGAGTTTCTAGCTTAGACAAGTTGGTTGAGAAGCTTTACTGCATCTTTCTTCCCTGTTCTTGTGTTTAATGTTTTTGAAGGATTTCTTATCCTACCTCTAGTTGTGATCATCTAATTCAGCCATTTGTTCCTAATGTAATTTCTTCTTTATCTACTAATTGCAGATGGCATTTTTTAATCTTATTGTGTTTTAAATAATTTGCTGCATCTTTACTAAAATGCGCTTTCAATGTACATCTACTGTGATATTTATGTCGTATAATTAATCAAGACATGGTTTTCTTGTTAATTTTCTTTCATTCCAGGGATATGATGCACATAGTATTTGTCCATTACTTGGAAGTTAAGGTATTTTTTTTCATTTCTTTATATTTTTTGCTGTTATTACCTTTTCTTGTTATTACCTTCCAATGATTTTTTTATCATTTATAGCTCTTTCATTTCTAGCTTTTGGACTCTATCTATTTTTTTACTTTTGTTAGAGCACTTTTCCTCTATAGCTTGAGTTTTGATGTTTTACAAAATATGATGATGTAGTTGAAAGGGAAAGAATGAATAAGCTG